ATATATACAATGTAGAAACGGCAAAAGAAAAAGGCTCGAGGATGTTTGTTTTTCAATAAAATTTTATTCATTCCGAAAGAAAGGCACGATCCTTCTTTATATTGGTAGCAATAATGATAATATATCGTGTGATGCAGGATTTATGGGTAGTAGTTCCGTCTGATGATGTTATGCAATGAGATATTTGTCTATAGAGATTGGGTGGCCGACTAAGATGATTCGCTTTTTATATTAATAATATTAACAACAACAACAATAATAATAATATATGGATTAGAATTTATTTTATTTCATTCCTTGACGATGATGTCGAGTAAAGTCCCCATACGATATCAGGCATCAATTCAAAATTATTTGATACCATATATTTCCAACACGCTGACAAGTGATTACCATTAATTAAATAAGTAGTATTGCAAGCAAATCGCTTGAATCACGTTATGTGTTGATTACTTTCGATAGTATCACCTATTATTCGATTTGGTAGGCGCAGTTCTCTCGCCTGACATTTTCCACCTATTGTATCTGTACGAAGATCATGTGCATGATAAAATTACCGAATAGAAAAAAACGGAGATAACATCGACTCGAAGTACCGCAAATGAAGTTTTTAACTCTTGAAATAAAGCGCAGCTATCCAACATCAATCGTATGGTGATATCGTTACTTGCGAATAACCGTTGCGCTGGACAGCTTTATATTTACAACATCCAACTTCCAGACATTCTCATGTACTTTTACAAGTTACCCCTCCTGTATCAAGTTCCTGAAAGAATAAGTCTCCATCTATCTTCAGGCTATATTTTTTTTCTGTGGATTTATTCTATGTATTTCGCTGATTTATGGTAACGCCTTTTTAATCTAGGCTGGGATAATTTCGCCAGGATTCGAATATTAGCCCACATGATCTCCATTATTATTATTACTATATACAAATTATACTGTCTGATTATCAGAATTATCGGCATATCAGTACTAATAATAATAACTATTATTATCATCATTATTATTGGCCAAATAAAAAGCGACAGTTTTGCTATGTAGATGAAACTATGCTTCATTTATCGTTATTCCCTTTCTTCGTCTGCCTGTAATCGACATGGTCAAAGTCATATTACACAATTATCTAATAATAATAATAATGATGATGGTAATATTGCAACATTTATCTTTCGTTTTACGTTCATTTCTCGATATTCCGTCGTCATCGTCACAATAATACGTAGTAATAAATGTGTATTTGTTTGTTTAGAAGGGAGCACTCTCTCTCATTTCTGCATTCATTTAGTAGTGTATTGATCTGTATTAATGTAACATATTTATTATGCTCTGTGCATATATATATATATATATATATATATATATATATATATATATATGGTCGATTTTACCATTTGTATATATGTATATATTTATATATCAGGAGATGGCCGCAGGTACTGAACGGACAGTCCCTCTGAAGTACCTGAGGGCCACTCTCCCCTGTTGGGTAGCATTTACAGTGTCAGTGCCTAACCCCAGTGTGTCAATGTCATCCCAAAAACTATAATAACTTTTTTATTCACACAGGTTGTGTAATGTGTGTCGTTGGCGGGACTTAGAGCTGGAACCTGGTCTATTTCAACCAGAGGCTTGGTTGCCCAAGCCGATTCCTGGTAGTCAAATATTGAATTACAATATTCCATCACTTTTGCGTATGCATCGCGCCATTGTTGCATCGAGCATTCTTCGCGTATGGATAGCCACGTCCTCCTACAAATTGCAGCCATTTTTTTAATTCCTCTCTATATTTCCCCGACTTCTTAATTTTACCTCAACTGATCCGCCGTTTTCAGTGTAGCTCAGCTTTATCATGTTGTTTTCTCTCTGATTTTATATAGTTCTTATATTATCCTCTCTCATTTTATTCGAACATACATCTCTCTATAGCATTTTGTTCTATGTATATATATATGTATATATATATGTATATATATTGGGGTTATGTAATATATATGTATATTGTATACACATGTAAGTATATCTTTTTTATAGGATCTGGAAGATCGCCTGCGTGTGGCTTTCATACGTAAACTTAATGTAACAATAGAGCTCAAGAAGGTAATAAGAATAATCGTCATCAGCACATAATCATTGGTCACTAGATAAAGGTGATAAAAATAATGTAATGAACAAAATTGTATCTATTCTTATGTATAATATTGTTGGCTCATCGTAGAAGGAAATCTTTTAACATCAGATGAATCATCATAATAAAAGTAATATCTAACAACATGATGCGAACACATGTGAAGGTTAGGCCTCGTCCGGCTCGGTTTTATTTGCAATGAGACATGTATGTATTAGCCTATTTCCCCACCGGCGTGGACCATTTGGTTTTGTTAAGGTTTTTTTTTCACTGTCTTTTAATCGGCGATTAGTATTATTCTCAGCTGATTATATATGTGTAGCTTGCACCTAATCAGCGTTTGCTTCCAAGTTTAGCCTGATTAAGATATAATACACTGTCATCCTCAAAAATTTTTACTTTTTTAATCCTGACCTCTTACTTCAGTGACATGGTGTTCTTCGACTTAGCATCCACTAATCAGATCCCCTATAGTTACACGGTGTTATCTAGCTTTGTGTTAGTCTACATACATTCTGTGTGTTCGTGAGTGAAAAAGTATGCGAATATCTTCCTATATATATATATATATATATATATATATATATATATGTATATATATATATGTATATATATGTGCCCGTGTTGCTACCACTTTTCTTTGTCGTATATTTCTCTTTGTTAAGGTATGCACATAAATACAGTAGCACGATGTTAGCACTTTAGTGCAGCTGTTGACCAGTGAAGTAGTAACCGTAGTGATATCATTTAACGGACTTCATCATGTTATCGATATATCTTATAAGCTGATGGATCAATGGTACCTTTGTGTTTCGATGAATACGCACGTGGGTGTCTGTCGGTCTGCGTGTCCGTCTACCTGCCAGTTTTTGCTTCTTGGAGCATATTTGAATGTCGGCTACGTATGTTTGCGTTCGGAATATACGGCATGTATTCACATTATTTTATATGTTGGCTATTTTTGTTTCAATTTCAGAGGTCGTTCTCTTCTTTTAACATCACTTTAGTGTCATCACCGTCCGACTCGGCGAAATACACTCACAACAAAAACAGACGGAGAAATTTACTCAAAATTGGTTGACAGAGCGCTAGCGTTGGTTTTATTTCCATTTATGCGTCCAGTGTTTAACTGTGCCAGCAACGAAATTATATAAAAATATCTCTCGCAAGCCAACCCGATAGCCGATCTTTCCTATTTCCTTTATACTTTTCTGTTGGTCATTTTTATCCATTTTTAGACTGTGAATACTAAGTACTTGGTTAATCCTAGAAATAGCTTTTTTTTTTGTACCCAAATGGGTTAGTTGTCAAATGTCTGTGTACGTCCGATGTGAAGTAAGTGTTTTTCTGTCACACACGTTCGTCTGAGTCAGTACCGTGTGCTTGTACATGCTTTTCTCTGTTCCACCACTTCATTCACGTCCCTTCACAATTGCTTTTACCTATACTCTCCCTTTCCTCCCCCGTTTTCTTTTCTTTCTCTCCCCCCGTATTTACTTCATTATCATGTCTATTCTATACTCATTACATAGCCTTCGCATATCCGTAAAGTCCTTACGGTCACTTGAGTTATGTGTACATATTCTCATTAGCGTCATTATCATTACACTTAATAGTTATTATCTTAGTATCTATTACTATTTTCTTTAATATCAGCAGTCTCCACTCTCGCTGTCTTAGTCACGTTTTTGCGCCTGTGATCATAATCCGGCCTGAATATGTCACACGGATGGAAAAACAATAACGAGATGAGCGCGACATGTTATAGGCTGAACATTTCATGACCGTACAACTCTTGTGTGAATAGGTGTCTTTTGAGACACAACGCACATTAACATTATGGCTTTTACTTTAGCTCCCCGACTTTTCGATTCATACGTTACATTTTCATTCATCACACTGAGTCCCTACCATTCTTTGTAAGTTGTGCTTACCGACTACCGTCTGGCGTGCACTGCACGGTACCACTCTGGAACACCCCCTAGTGCCATGTGAACGGCTGCTGCGGTATATTAAACCAGTAGAGTCATTGCGTCACTGTCATCAAATTCTCCGTAAAGTATGTCGTATTGTACAACTTCTCGTTCTTCTATAAATTCCTTTACATGTTGATTAAAATCCTTACACCCTTTCATTTAATCTTATCCTTCTCTCGAACTCAATACGTCTGATTTTATTCATTCTGTTATTTCCTCATACTATTATGAATAATTAACTTCTTCAGGAAATCAAAAAGTAAAGCCGACAAATTGTAGGCGACTTACTCCTCTTCACTTCTCAATCAAGTTATGTATCATATATATATATATATATATATATATATAATTTGTGTGGGCTGTCTACGTCTGTGTTTATACCAGCTGATTGATTGATAGTTATTCTTGTATAGAACGATCACGGTGGTAAGGTGTGTAGTGAACAGCACACAGCCAAAGACGCATTAGCTCAGCTTGTCGTAACCCCTCGATGCAACCCCATTTAGGGTATCGGTCTCGTGAGTTTGCCGTCAGCCATTTCATCGCCAACGTAGCATCATGGCGATTAGAAATATCGATAGTCACATAATGACAGCCTGGTAACACCAGGCGCTCTGCGATTGCATTATATAATCATTGTCAATGGCATGAGTTACACTTAAGTGCTTCGTCTCCGATTCGATTCGCGTCAGCCCGCCGTCTGGTCTTTTGTTCCCATTGCAAGCGTCATTCCCTCATGATACTAATTATTACCCTTAACTCATCGCCATCGTGTTACTGACCGTGCTGATGACGTATTTTCATGATAGATAACAGCATCACTTAAAGGTAAATTCAAGAAATGTCCTCAGCTGACACACGTCCACTATTTTTATCCAAAATCGCCGATTCTTGCTTTTGCTACTTTCACAGACACACTACGTTCGCCATCGTTGTAGAGAAATGAAATATGCAGACATTACTTGGGAGACTACGGTTAGTGGCCGAGAATCGAAGGCTAGACAGGTATAAAAATTTTTCCAATTTTTCTATCTTCCTAATCAGACTCGACAAATTCTAATCAGACTCCCACAATGCTGCCCTTCCAGCGATTAAGCCACACTAAGTAATAAGTGTAGCTTAATAGTTAAGTGTGGTTTAACAGTTACGTGTCTAAATTGCGTGATTATTTATCGTGTAATATTGTAGCACGAAGCCGATATTGTTAATCAAGCAAGAAAATGAGTTTGTTCCTTATACCTGGAATCATATTGTGCACGCAAAATGGTTTTCCAAAAAAGAGCCCGCTCTCTGATTTACGTAACGACATGTCAACAAAAAGCTAGACAACTGCATGAAGCTGAGCTTAAAGAAATGGTCTGCAACCACCGATACACAAGTGACAAAAATAAGTGACATCTACAGCGAGTGCGTCAAGAGAAGATTATTCGAAGCTCTCCTCTCTATTTTATTTCACTTAATACAGATAATGTGAGTAATACGAATACGATACCAATTCAGATGAGCATGCAAAAAACGGTGATTTCACCCGATTACTATGAACAAGTCTCGGCTGTGGCTTTTTTGCAGAGGTTTTGACCTTCAAGATTTTGAGGTTGTTTTTCAGTTTAGGGACGTTGCCGCTGTTTTTTGACTTATTAACTTGGTTGTTCTTGGCGAGCAGACATATAGCCCTTCTTGGACCTTCCCGCCGTCCGCAAGTAAATCCAGCAAATATATTTCAACAAAATGTAATGAGCCGAAAAATAACACTTATAGTTAATAATAATGTTAATATTAGAGATGCTATAGCATAAACATGCCACTCACACGTCAGAATATTACAAGTTAATATTGTATGTATATGCACAAAAATCGTGCCAGTCATAAAAAATTGTACAGCAGAGACCACCGTTACATTAATTGGTAGGCAACAAAAACGGTCGGGAAGGCAGGAATAACTGGATGACTACATTCGCCAGACAGCTGCACCTTATATCTCCTCGGCTGTTTGTGTACATGTATAATGGTCTGCTACGTTGAAATTGGCCCTAAACCCTAATTCCGCGGGGCAAGAGTTCGCACACACCGACGATACTGCAATATTTACGAATTTAGTAACGTCGCTTCTCATTGTTTTTCTTAACATCACCATCACCATCGTTCTCTCCCAAAATATCGATTCGAAGTTAGTTGTCCCTTAGGGATTTGCGGTTACCCCCTTCGTGGACGACCTACTACATCTCGATAAGCTGGGTGTTGTAGGCACTTGCTCTCGACACGACGGACGGCTCCACTCGTGTGTCGCTCGCCTAGCCGTCCGGGATTCCTTCCGACATTTCTCATCATTTTCATCGTTTTTATCATCCGCCTCAAACGATATCATCTTTATCATGTTTGACCTGTTCAAGTCTGATATTTATTTGTCGTTGTGGCCCGTTAATGTCGCCGCAGTTATTCTTGTTGTCGTCGACATTGCTTACGTTGCTGCTTTAGGGCGAGACTGCTCGTGTATTTCAGCTGCAGACAGGTGCTCCTTGTGTGCTTCAGTATGTTTATGATGAATATATATATATATATATATATATATATATATATATATATATATATATATATGTATGTATATATATATATATATATATATACAAATTAATGTATTTATAACTGCTGCAAACTGTCGCTGTCACGTAATCCCGCCCTCAAAGAGCCCAGTCATTGCCTATACTTGAACGCACTTCTGTGGTGTCAGTAGCTGTTCGTATTTTCGATACTAATAATAATGTAGCTGAATTTTGAGTCATAAATTTTTCAAAATTTTTGTCATCTTCTTTGCCTTTATCTACCTTCCAGTCCAACACCACGTTCCGGTATCCTGACTTCATGTTTTCATGCTGGCCGTAACCGTTGTTTTCTTCTTTATGTTCAACATTGTGTCGGTTCTCAATACATATTTGTATCGATTGATGGTTGTCGAACAGGTATTGTCGCTAGTAAGGTGTTAGGCCTACTTTCCTTGTTATGCGCTACTTCGTTCGGGCAGATGGTGTACGAGGCAGAGAAAAACGTTGGGCGACGCACGCACGCAGTTACAGGCATGCGGGCATCTTTAAAGAAGTCCCGCTGGTAGACCTCAGGCAACGGCGTTACTGATGGCCTTGTCAACCTGCTCCTGCACGGACATGCCCTGCACAGAAACCTCGTGCTGTTCGAGCCCCGTCGCCTGCGCTACCGCCTGTGCTACAGCGTCTTGTGTGCCCTCGGCTATTGCCCCGATAGCACCGACCCCGGCCACTCCACCCACAACCGCCGCCTCCACCACCTGAAGCTGACCGCCCTCTTGGACTAAATGCTGTCCTGGAGCGGTCAAAACCTGCATATAAACAATGTGATAAAAAATAAAGTATACATTACTTTTTGCTAATTGACCTACCCGTTTTTTAGTTTGAAAGCCTTGCAATCACTTAACGGGCATAAATCGAATGAATAGTATGAAATAGCGACAAATAAAACCATTGAATTAGTTAAAAAAAATAGCTTATTACATACAGTATTTATATACCCTTTCCAGTGGGAATTTGTTGCTTCGCTGGCGTATATAGAAACAGGTTACATAAAATAAACCAAAAAAAAGAATGTATGGAAAAAAAATGAAAAATGTAGAAAAATTAATTTTCAATAGATCTTAACGTACCTGCACGGTGGCGCCCTGTGCGGCAGCGGCGGCAATGAGCTGTTTTTGCTGCGCGTCCATATGGTTACAGAATGCCTTACCACATAAGGTGCAGGCGGGGATGGTTATGGTAGTATGGCCGTCTGCGGACTGCAGCTGCTGTATGAGGTTGGGGTCGGCCACAAAGGCCACCTGCTGGCCTGGAACCGCTGCCACCGTCAATACCTGCTGCCCTCCGGCCGTCGTCAGGATACCCTCAGTGCCTGCGAGAGGTTACGCATTATAAGTAAACGAAAAAGCGATATGAAAAATGGAATAGAAGAACATCTCTATCTGATTGTATATTATAGAAAAAAAAACTTACATTACTAAGAACTTTGGCTCCAACTTCATTTATCAACTGTACCTTTTTTTTTTTCACAGCGTTGTATATCTTTCCAATTGAGCAATAAGTGCCATAATATACCGCGAAACATAACCGTACGCACTCACCTGTAGCGACATGGGTCCTCGCGTGTCTCTCGAGTTGCACGCGCTGTCGGAAGGTCTTCCCACAAGAGCCGCATGTATACGGTCTTTCTCCCGTATGTGTTCTCATGTGGGACTCGAGATGAGCCTTTTGATTGAAGCTCTTTCCGCACTGAGAACAAACGAACATGCGTTCACCTGTGTGTGTCTTGATGTGCCTCTCGATGTGCTCTTTTCGGGTGAACGTCTTGCCGCACGCCGAACATGAGAAAGGCCGCTCTCCGGTGTGGATACGAATGTGTGACTCCAGATGGACCTGATATGATAGCAGCAAGAACAAAGGAAAAACCATTAAATCATCGACAGAATATTTCCCTTATCGAAAGAAGAGACTGCTTAGAAATATCGTACATCTGCGCTCAGTAATACTGTGCAGTGTTTCAGGAAGTAGGTAAGATAAATGCTTGTAAAATTACCGCTCATAGATATATAGAACCTGAAAAAAACTACTAACCTTTTGCGAGAAACGCTTGCCACAATGGGTGCAGCAGAAGGGCCGTTCGCCGGTATGGATTCGCATATGACGTCCGATGTGCTCCTTGCGCCTGAATGCCTTCCCGCACATGGAGCAGGCGAACGGCCGCTCCCCGGTGTGAATCCGGAGGTGGTTCTCCAAATGGGCCTTCTGACAAAACGTCTTACCACATGTCGCACATGGATATGGTCTTTCTTTGGGCTTCGATGGACTCATGGCGTCGCCGCCTACAGACACTTGGCCACTGGCACTGGCCCCCACGGCTACGGGTCCCACGGGCACAGGACCCACCGTCACCCCGGCCGGAAGGGAGCCCGATAGAGAGTTTGGCAGGGTTGGTAGGCCCCCTGTTAAAGGAGCCCCCGTTGTTGAAGGCTCCTGCTTCATGATCCAGCCCCCGCCCGCAGTCTGGATAAGGACTTGCTGCGAAGAGACACAACAAACACAACAAAACAAAACCAAACACAAAAATATGGCAACCCCTCTTAGCCCATGTAAGGCCAAATGAATAGAAACAATGAATGAAGAATCAAGAGAACTAATCAAAACAGAAACGAGACACCGCGATTTGAGAACGAATTTACAACTCTGAATGAATAAAGCAAACGAATCAACACAGAGCAAAAAATGAAGGCACTTAAGAAAATGACTGATAGAGGTATCTTGCCCAAAAGGAAACTTTTTTCAAATTAATTTTCTTTTAAGAGTAGATTATTAAAGGTCGCCAGAGTCAAAAACTTATAGATAAGAATGTCGAGAAAGAGTTGAGATAAAATTGGGTTTGAAGTTGTTATCAAAATAAAGCAAAGAGATAGAATATGTCCAAGAATGAAATAAGAATTTTCAAGGTCGCACCGCAGTCCAGTCCATCGCAGACAATCAACAGGTGAGGAGGTGATGCCTGTCACGAAGCCGCCCCCTTTTTATTCGATCAAATGGATCTACAAGCGAGATCAATCATATTGATCGAAGCAGCCAATCAACCAGTATTCCAACCCAACAGCAACTCGAAGAAGTGCCAAACAATGCGCTGATATTGCACAAAAGTAACAATAACCATGATCGTGACCGTCCATTGAACGACGCACAGCGAATAAAAACCGACCGCCATGATTCCATCGCATGCAAGCCCTTTCAACTTGACACCGAAAGCAATACGTAGATATAAAAACAGCATAACTAAATCCCCCCCAGCACGCCCCCTTCTAACCGTACGCAACACAGATCAGACGGGTGGACTACTGCTAGCAGCGGCATAAATCAACATAACACAGCCGTATTCTTTAGATCCTTGATCTTGTAAGCAAACTTCACATATGCGTGCACACGTAACTGAATCACACTTAGTTTAGAAAGAAAACCACCCCATCTTAGCATACCCATAATTCGTTACTTTATGTACTTTTGCCTAATTACTTATATTCATCAAATAATATTCTGTTTTAATAACATCTGTTTTTAATTATATACATAAGTTAATTTCTTTCTTGATACATATATATCTGAAGCACCGCAGTTGGGAGTAGTCCACACTGATCTTCACCGCTACAAACGTAAAATGGGTCGTACTGCGGGGGTGTATTACCAGCGACCTCCGCGCTTATCGTGAATCGTCACGGTAAGTCTAAACATCCCACTTTGGGTTTGCCAGACCGATATATCTACCACTTGTACTACTGATTAACACATGCACATTTTTATCGAATCCCTCGAGAGGAACTCGAAATGACAATGCTTTATCCACGAAGCCTACTCGGCAACGAAGCAATCTTTTTCAATTCTTATTTTCTGTGTTAATCATAATATTTTATCAACGATCCTTGATCTCCCTAACCGTCTAATCCTCGACGATCAACACCATGTCAACGCCGGTGAAAGAAAAACGAGAAAACAATCTTCTACCTTCAATTAAATATGCTAAGCGCCAACAAACGCTGTCAGTAAAAAATTGGTTCAGATCACACAAAAAATGCGTGTGCTCGTACGTTTGCTCGTTCCAGAAGGACATGGTAGAGAGAGCGTTTAGGATCATTAATCGGCTAGGTAGAGCGGGTAGTATCTAGTTTGTTGTTGCCGTTCTGTGGTCCTCCGTCTATTGATACTTACCCTCGTTTCACCGTTGAGAGCGGCGGCTTGTCCTCCGCCGGCCACTTGGCCACCCGCTGCCGCTGCTGCTTGCGCGGGTTGACCCCCACCAACATTTGTTGTTTGCTGGGCCGCTGCGGCAGCTGCCACTGCTGCTGCCGTTTGCAGTGTGACAGTTCCTGTGGGAGCGGCGGCCTGTTGGCTCATGTGTGTCTGCATATGCGTTTCCAGCTGTTGCCTGTTGGCATACACTACCCCGCACAATGAACAGCTGAATAGTCGAGTCGTCGTCTCTTGATGGCTTCGCAGGTGATTCTGCAAGACGCCATTGTCCGTAAACAATTCACCGCACACACCTAGATAGAGAACAAATAGATTGAATACATTGAAGTGGAACAAACTATGTGGGCAAAAAAAAAGAAAAACATTGGTCGCATACTGATGTTGTGACATAAGAAAGTGGGATTCTCATGTAATAATGTGTATTAAGCTATTACTACTTGTATAAACCGTAGGTAGACCTAAATCTCTAAACTTCTGAACAGAATTTTCATATGAAAACATTTCCGCTTTGCCAAAAATATAGCCAGCATTTTTATTTTCCCCCAGAACTGTTCTCCCCCCAATATATTACCTAAGTATTAGTGTTCCAATTTAAAATTATTATTTTGAGAAACTATCTACTTATTAAATTTACAGAAGTAATTGTAGTTTGAACAGAACGAAAAAAGAACCACCTTAATACAGCTAAGCATTTTATGTATAACAAAGAACTGTTACAGATCTGATTCAGATTTCGGTTAATTTTTTTTATGTCGTTTATTTACCTGAACAACTAAATACACACAGATGACCAAAGAAGCTACTACGTGACCTAGTTTACTCGGCTTTTTAGACTGAGTAGGATCTTACACAAAGTCACAAGATTATGTCATATATATATCACAGACTACAAGATCATGTAAGGCGTTTGCTCATTCGACTATAAACCTTGTGAACCTTGATAATAATAATATTAATAATAAACTAAACCATTCGTTGACCTACCACATCTGTATTGGGTCGTTGGTTGCGGCTGCTGGGGTTGTCCATTTGTGGTAAACTGCGTGATAGTTTGGCCTGGCGCGTTTCCGCTTGAGGCTACGATCGTGATTTGGGGTTTATCGGCAGCGGATGTAACCTGTGTTACTGCCGGTTGGATCGTGACCGAAGCCGGTTCTTGGGCGGGCTCGGGGTCGCTTCGGGCCTCTGCATGTAACACTACGTGCTTGCAAAAGTCGTTTACACTTGTTGTCACGTACGGACATAATGGACACCTACAATTCAATAAGAATCAAAAGCAAAAAGTATTTAACGTATGCGTTACTACAAAACTATGATAAATGATGGAGTGTGAATACATCTAAAGTACTGAGTAGCAGGAGACCGAATTCGTTAACCTGCTGAACCCCATGCTACCCCCCAAAGAAGCGGATTGGTTACATGCACTAAAAGGGTTCAATTAATTCGTGGGTACTGAATGGTTTAGTTATCTTAGCAAAGAACGCATATCCGTGTAATTCAATATATTCAGTAAATAACACAGGATACATATCATATGACAAAAAATTGTGTTACTATGTATATTTTACCAAGTTTATATCCAAAACTCTCCATATTAGACTTATATGAGTGAGTGAGCTATGATGTAGATAAGTATAAGTGCAAACCTGACAGACCCTAGGTCCGTTAACAGGACCAGCAAACTGCAACCCGTTAGATGCTATGGCATTTTTCATAATCATCACTAATTCGAATGAAACTTAATCACCTGTGAATACTGTGATCTGTCGTAGTGCTCGCCGTAGGCGCTGTTGTACTTGATTGAGTTACCACTTGCGTGACCACTTGTTGTTGCTGATGTTGGCTAGTAACGACAGATGATTCTTCAACAACCTGCTGATGTTGCTGTTGTTCGGATGTAACGACAACTTGGCCACCTGCTGTCGTCTGTTGCTTCGTTGTTGTATTATTATTATTGTTGTTGTTATTGTTGTTAGCGGGCACCTGCACCTGGATCATCTGTCCGTTGGCTCCTTGTATCAGCTGCGTGGTTGTAGCGACCTGGTTGCGTAGCTGTTCTTTGCTATCTTCAACAACAACCATCTTATCTCCTCCACCTGCATCATCAATTTAAAATGGGCATCAGTACGGTCGGGGACGATAGAGATCAGTGTCAAAAAGATAGGGGTTAAGATAAAAAATAGAAATCGCGCTAATTACGTCATGGTATAGATTGATGGTTTCTAATGTTTTCGAGATAAATACAGACGGAAGGTACATTATTTGTCAATAATAGTCCTTAAATAGAAGCACATATATAACTACTAAAATAACAAGCACCGACGCTGAAAAATACATCAACATATTCAGTGGAACCAATTAAATCGATTTTAAACAATTTATTAATTAGTCTAGCGCTATATTGTGAGTCAACAGAGTTAGGGCTAACTAACAAACTCAATTATTTCGGTAGATATAAACTAAGCAGACTTAAAATAAGCTACACATTTAATTGACCCACAATGCGATTGTAAACAAAGTCTGTGACTAAAACGTCATTATTAAAACATTTTTGCTCAATTACGAAATACAAATTTTGAAGAAGGATATCATATCGAGTGTTTGTTTTGAAAAAATCGATGATTAGCATAAAGCGTCATCTAGCATCTCAAATATCAGAGTTAGCTTCGAACATCATTCTACAGACGAGCCATTTTGAATGCGTTTGCTCTATGACAAACAGGCAGCAGTACTATAACCGACGATGTTTCAAATTAAGCTTTGAAAAATGCGTGAACAAAGGCAGATAGTGCTCTTAGTAGTACATTCTGTATAGGATCTTAAGAAGTATAACAGTGGCAAGGTGCACCAGTTTTCCCGCTTAACAATAACATGATGCCATCAGCAGAAATCTATCTGATTTCAGAATAATAATCGCCTTAGTTCTTCTAAGTTTTTTTCCTGGTTTGTAACACCAAAGCCAGAATCAAAGAGAAACAATGAATAATATAGTAACGAAATTTCCAACGGAGCGGCTGACCGACCTGTCGGTGAAGTCCTTTGTGGAAGCGCCATTTGATCGCGGTTCTGATGGTTATAGTAATTATGAAATGCCAGCGGATTAGCACCCTCAACTTTAATATCCGGTGATGACATAAACTGCGACTGTTCCTGTGCAACAGTCTGCATCGGCACTAGCCCCCCAGGGGTAGTCCACCAAACTTGCGGATTGAGCATCGATTGGCGGTAGACTGTGACTCGTGTAGAGTCAACTGACCGCCTTACTTTTCCGCCAGCCTCGGCGGGAAAAGACTGAGTGATTTGTCAACAATAGCTCACAACACCATTGAATCAATCAGCAGCGATGGTCAATGAAAAAGTCATCAATAGCCCAGCAACGAGCAGCACTGACTTACACTCACACACTCGAATAAGCAGAACCAGCGCACGTGGGGGCACTCCGATCCAATAACCGATAACGAATCAGTTGTCACTGACAGTTCAAACACTCAACTGTCTGTTGAACAGGAGAAGATAATCACGAGGAGCGATAGCTAGACATACAGAGGAGACGGGGCGGAAAGAGGCCGTAACGAAAACACTGGAGAGTGAACGCCGAGCCGTGTGACACTTCGGCTGGAATTCCCTCACTCAAATGCGCACCCCTTTCGATTCTGCAGAAGCAACAAAAATATTGGGAACTCCTCTCTTGTGAGCGGAAAATACTGCCTGTGTGCCTAGCAAACCAGCCAGCCTGAATTGCACTACCACGGACGAGAGGGAGGTTTTTTCGCTCTCCGTTCGTCTCTCGCTCGTTGACCGATCCTCGCCAGCCAGCCAACACCATGTGAGTGAGAAAAATACACAGAGCACGCGGTATATAAAACAACAGGTCATTACCAGCCTCGCCCACTAGGTGGCGCGCAAAACATCTTTTTTGATTCAAAGCTTGCTGTGGCGCGAACGAGCACAACAGCTTGCATTTGGCGATCGGTTGGCAACCCGGTGTCAGTGTGAAAGAGAGGATATTGAACTTGAGTGATGTGCGATGCGTCAGAGGCAATCTCGATTTGACCAAACGGGTCCACTTCGACAGGATTACGAGAATAAATCAGATCCTCAGAGAGCTAAATATGCTGCTAAAAATGTGTTATTAATACTATCAGCGGACGATGTCCTTTTTTGACGCAGTGTACTTTATGCCAAATTGTACACGCAAATAAAGGCAAAATATTATGAATGAAATCTCTAATTGATGTTCACAGCCGAATATTATTAGAATTACATTATTATTACGTGGATTTGCATGTTATAAGCGTACAAAAACATCATTCATCTGAGAAAAATTGTGGCTTAAGTAAGCTACCTAGAAAAATAACATTTTTACCTTAACCTACCTAGCTATTAAATCTAAAATGACATAACAAGTATTGTCATATACGTCAAGCATTAATGATTTGATATTCCAACCAAAATAAATGAGTCTCTGTAGCAAAAACCATACAACAAATGACTATTTATTTTGTTACAAAATGAAGCGCAACGAAAATACGTGTTGTACAAGAGAGAAACAAAACCGTAACAAAATGAGAACCACAACGATAGGCGACGTGCAAAACGTTATGCAGTGGCAATCACATGTGCATGTTTAGAACGAGCACAACGAATTTATTGGTGGTAGAAAGGGGGTCTACGTAGAGCTCCCTGGAGCGGAGGAGCGACAAAAACACCAAAAAATAATTAATGTCGGGCGATGCTGAAACGTGAACTATGAACCAAAAACCGTGTAAAGTAAAAACATGAAAAGGTCCGCGCGCGTCGCTTAGACTTTGACTGAACAAAATGATTATTTGTGCCGAGTAAAAGCAGCGGTAGTAGAAGTAGATAGCTTTATCAGCAGAATATCCAGTCCAACAACAAGAACGAGCCCAAGCACCGCGAAGTAATGCAGTGAACGAAAATGAAACAGGTACCAAAAAAAATCTACCATTGACAACTGAGCTTCGTTTGAGCAAACACCCAATCAAATACAAGACATTCAGACTAAGACGCATATCGTCCGTATAGGTTGTAGGTGACCATGATATGGCAGTGCAGGATGCAATGGCGTTGGGGGATCGCCGATGAAGATCGGCTAATGTGGGCGTAGACTAGGGTGGGCAGAGAAGTGGCAGTCGAGCTGACGTTTTTTTGTTTGTTTGATGCTGACGCTTTTTTGTTGTTCTTGTTGCTATTGTTGTTCGCTGTTGCAGCCTACCTTGCTCCTCTGGGGGAAGGGCCTGCTGGACCGTCTGTAACTGCTGTACGGGCGCGACGGGTTGCAGGGTTTCGAGACCCTCCTCAACGCCGGTCACTGGTTGGGCGTCGTGTATAGTCTGGACGGCCTGCACTACCGGTACGGCCTGCAGTTGCGCGGTCGTTGAAACTGCAGCTGCCATCTGAACATGCACGCCCATTTGAACATCGTGCACGGTCGCTACTCCCGTCGCGTCGTGAACCATCAGCGGCGTCTCCAGCTGGGTCTCGTCCTCATCAACCTGAGGTATCTCAGCCTGCTGGGCTGCCTCGCTGAGCAGCGAATTCGTATGATTTGGGTCCGCTTGTTGCTGCTGTTGTTGTTGCTGCGCCTGAATTTCCTGTGTCTGTTGTTGTTGTTGTTGTTGTTGTTGTTGTTGTGCAACGGATGTCGCCACGGTCTGTGGCGTCGTCGTTGTGATGATCTGTCCGTCCTGGACCTCGATGACAGCGCCCTGTGCCTGATCGGCCGCGGCATCTTCCGCGCTCTGCACCTCGACAATTTGCATTGTTGTCGTCTGTTGTTGTTGTTGTTGTTGTTGCTGCTGCTGTTGTTGCTGCTGCAACTGTTGTTGTTGCTGTTGGAGGTGGGTCTTGACGTGTCGCTCGGCATGGTCCTTCAGTCGGAACGTCTTTCCACAGGATCCGCAGGCGTAGGGCCTTTCACCCGAGTGGATTGTCGCATGGTTGAGAAGATGTGCGCGTTGCGAGAATGTCCTTGGGCACATGGAACACGCGAAGGGCCGCTCTCCGGTGTGAGTTTTCATGTGGCGGCTGATGTGCTCCTTACGGCGGAACGATTTACCGCACACCTGGCAGGTGTACGGGCGCTCGCCCGTGTGAATACGCAGGTGATTCTCAAGATGAACCTTCTGTGAGAAGGTCTTGCCACAAGAGGTACACACGAAGTTGCGTTCGCCAGTGTGCATTCGCATGTGCCGCTCGACGTGCTCGCGTCGCCGGAACGCCTTTCCACATTCGGAGCAGACGAAGGGCCGCTTTTTACTTTTCCCGGTTCCCGCACCCCCTGCGCCCGCTGGCTGAGTTGCCGCGACCGCTGCTGGTTGCGCTGAAACCTCCGCAGCCGTCTCCTCGGCTATCGTTACCGTCTGATTAGTCTCCGGCTTACCTGATGTGTCACAAATACGAGTTCGCACACGCGGCCGTGTGTGTGACACAGAGATATCGCGGCAGTGAGCAGCCAATGACGACGCACACATACGCACGGGTGATTATTGCGCCCCCGTGTCACAACCGAGCATCCGACACAGACATGAACATTGCCAATATCCATTCATTGTCCATGTCATCCAAAATAGTAGCAGCATTTATAAGATTTTCAGAATAGGTTGATTGATTTGTTAGTCGCCAATTATGGGCCTATTATTTCTTTCAGGCGTTAGTCAATCAGTTAATCAACTCGAACCGATCTGTTCCATCCCACCGTACAACACACACATCCCAACACTTGTTATTTCGATTCCCCTGCTGTCCTAGTTTTACTAACAAGATTCATAACCATAAAAACAATTAGGGAATCGTTTCTAAATATCTCCTTAACTGTTAAATAGTTTCCAAGGATTATTCTTAATTTCGTTGCTTGTATTGTTCGCCTATTATAAAGTGTTATTTTAAACTATTGTACCAGTCTTTACAGGTATGTACGTAATCGTTCAAAATCGTACCTTGTTGGGCGTAATGGCTGCGCATGTGCACGTCGAGATGGGACTTGTCGATGAAGATGGCGCCACACAAGCTGCAGCTGTACAGCCTGGAGGCGTGGGTCTGCATATGCTCGTCTAGGCCGTCCTTTTGTGTATACGCCTTGCCGCAAATGGCGCACACATGTAGGGTCGTCGTAACGAGAAACTGGCCTCCGGCTGCCGCCACCTGTTCACTAGTGACCTCGCCACCATCGGCGGCGTGAATCACCAGCTGCTGGGTGGTTCCACCGCCGGTCGCCTCCGCCTCCGTGTCCTGTTCTGCTGCGGCCATCGCTTGTGCGATAGCGTTATTCGGCTGTGCTGCGCCCGTAGCTTGGCCGCTGCCCGTTGTGATTTCGAATCCAACGAGTTGACCCCCTTCCCCCGCGGCACCACCGGCGGCCTTCAGCGCACCCATCAACTTCGATCCGTCTTCGCTCATCCTGCAACCGTGTAGATTAAAACGTCAAAGAAATTGAAGTATAGGGTAAGCATTGCTGGCACTATGGCTCGAACGTCAGCAATAGTTATTTTTGATCATTATTTCTATGGGGCTTTCTTTTCAATTTTTGCTGACTCGCTAGTGTAGCAAATTTCGTTTTATAAGTGAACTCGGAGTGTATTGTATGCTTGTATTTACATGATAAAGTATTTACGATTTTAGAAGGTCGCCTCTACTGGAGACATTTTCCATTGATACGAAACTGTGATCGGCGTATGCAAGAATCTCGCCAAGCTCTTCGAGCTAACGACGTTGAACGTTGTTGATGAAAATGCCACCCTGGCATTTAAGCAGTGCGTTCCCTGGACCCCTGGAAGACTTGGCCGATTTTCGCCACCTCACGTACATTAATCTCATGCGGCTGTACACCTTATCTAAGAATCTTCGAAGGAATGGATGAAGCCTTTTCTAAAAGATTGACATTATTTCCTTTTGGTCCCTTTTTTCCCATCTGATTTTTTCACCTTCTCGAACTGATAGCGCCAGCCAGGGAACCAGCTCACACGTCTATCTATCAATCTGAGCCAGTCACGAGCATAGGTAAACATAAAACACTAATAATTTTTGGTGACAATAATATATATTTATTATAAACGCGGTTATGTGTGTTTTTCTGTTCTCTCGGCATCCCCACCGTGATGAACATGTTTATCCTAGCGCCAAAGCTAGCGTCTTCTCTAGTTCCTTTTATGCCTGATAGAATAAATAGTAAGTATTGTGTCTGTACCTGTAGACGTAGATATTTATTAGCTGTTGAACTACATAAATAAAAGCAATTTTTTTACTCCTGCATTCAGCGTACAGTGAATTGGTTTACAAATAGTTCTTTCGTCTATAGGTGTCTGCTGATTTCTTATTAATATCTTCTTCCTTATGAAGTGTATAGCGTATGGTTGTTGATACAGTGAACGGCGTTTCAAAAGTTAATAACAAATCCTTATTTTCACAACATTGAATCATTACCTCTCTTATAGAGCATTATAGTTATCCATCGATAAGGGCTAGTGATTTTTAATGTTCTTTAAAGAAAGCCAGCGAAAACGAGAATATAATCTCTGAATGCCGAGCACCCCTTTTTTTCTGGGTAAATAAACAAAATACAAACAGATCCACAAAGGTTTGTAGCAAACCATTGGAAAGCTCGTAGTATCACGTAGCGAATATTTGTTACCAAAGTTCACCCCTTTTACTTATTTTTACGTGCGTCGTTACGTATAAATAGGGTTTGCGTTTCTGCGACAGTCAGTCTATGCAGCCGGCTGTGAGCTACAGCACACATGCACGCACGCACGCACACTCACATATACACACACCCATGCACACAAACACACACATACATACACACACTCACACACAACCACCCGCGGTAGGCATTCTGTACTCATTTACATTAGACAGACAGATAAACAGCTCGTTGGAATTTTCACGGTAATCCGCATGACACACTGATCATCAGTTAGTCAACCATTCAACTGCTAATGAAATTTTCTTTTGCCGCTTCTATGAACAACCATGTAACAACTACCAGGTATTTTTTGTAAGTACGGACTATCTTCGTATGTTCTGATATTCAATCAGGTGTTCCCGTACTACTCAACTAATAGTCCTAGTAGTGAAGAGAAATGCAGCCTCGTGGCGACATTCTTCTACATTTGTATGAAAATATTTGTTAGGATCAATCACTTTTTTTTATCGAATCCATTTGTCCCTCAGTGTTGTTGCCTCTTTCCTCAGTTGATTTTGTGTCATCGTCTCTTATTTTACAGTTTATATAATTTTTTTTCTATATGTTCGTATGTATAAATCTGCCTTACGGTAAAATTTCTAGTCCTTAAATAAGAAAAATACAAATGCCACCGGGAAATTAAAATTAGATCAATTCTTACTATACGCTACAATTACTACTTTATATATATTATAATCTGACTAGTTTAGTTGACTCAAGTACTTCTGACTTATTTAAATAATTATGTTCAATAAATAGTATATATATATATATATATATATATATGAGCAAAATAATATATACCGCAAAGTATGACTGTTTTAAGTACCATGTACGCAGGCGGCTATAACGTAAACTGTACTAAAGTACTATAATGTAGACGAAACCATTATAAATACGAGTATAGATAATAATAGCACAGTAACAGATGTGAATATAATACTAGAATTGCTCAAATATCCAGTTTTTTCTTCTCTGATATTGTTTACGGGCGGGGAAACTGTGGCTATAGTTGTTTTGCCTATCTCTATACAACAAAGTACTACGAAATATCACATGAGCATATATTGTTGTGTTATTACTATTGTGTATCTCGACGTATTCCCCGCACTAGCATCATAAACCCTTATCTCGTGACAGCTCCGATATGATTATCTTATCGGATCTATCATTTACGGGGGCTCTAGTTCTCCCTATTTTAAATATGTGTTCATCAAACCATCATCGATAATCCAAGGGAATTACCACTCCAAAAACTACAACGGTTGGAAATGATGTACTCACTTAAAGTCTGCATGAATCGATGAATGATAATTTGTTGCTGTTTAGTTGAATAGCATTTTTACAGATGGCTATATATATATATATATATATATATATATATATATATATATATATGCGCCTCGTTTTCCGTATGCTCAACAGCGGCGCTACAGTCTTGGCGCCGCAATACGAATAGTGGCAGGATATGGGCTATGCCGTCGCCATCTATGTATGCCTAATGTGCTATATATTTATTTATGGACGTATTATATTTAATGTGTATAGATGTGATGAATCATATCTGTTGTATTGGTAACGCATAGTGTTCGTTACGGGCCGCGGATGATCACTGAGATTATTGTTGCTCTCACCATAAACATTTCAGTTTAAGCATGGCGGGAGCGGCCGTGCGCCCCATCATGAACAGCTGTTTTACTGTAAACGTGTTAAATAAGTAACGTGAAAATAAAAGAATAGATAGATGATGAACAAACTGAATCTGTTTGGACTTAGTGCGAGTGTGAAAGACAGGATATTTCAGTATTGTCGTTGTCACTAATGCTGTCCACGTCAGCAACAGGTAAAATTCACCTTTTAATTAGTCTACTGGTACGCGCAAACAAACCAGCATTATAAGCAGGTCCGTAATATTTAGTTTTATCAAGATAACATTAAAATAGTAAGCACTATAATACAAACATTATAGTAAGTGATAAATAAAAAAAGACAGAATATTTCGATCTCTGACTAGATGTAGATGAATCAATATACAGTTGTCTCATACATAGTAATAAAATATGACAGTGGTGATCCGGTAACTGGCAAACATCTCTAGAAGTTTCTGATGTGGTCTTCAGAAACAGACGAGTCTGTTGCCGTTGTCTCGGAATGCCATCATTGTCATATAATAGAACTGAAAATAGCTTGTTGGCTACCTAACTATAAACAAGTACATACATATAAAACAGTGTTGCCTGTATCATTCAGACTGCAAATAATCTGAATGTGGTAGACTATAATCTTTTCCTCGTTTTATACACGGACATACAATTGTGGACGGCGCCTCAAGCTGACGACAACGGTTTCGTAAAACTTTGCTCACGTTAAGCTATGCTGCATAAGACAGCCTTGCTTCTTACTGTTAAAGGTGGCCGCTCCCTTGGAACATTATTAATATTATTATTATATGCTATAAACTATGAAAGTATAGTATGTGTATATTTTTCCCTCTGTCTACCTCTCTCGCGCTCTCTTCCTCTCTAAGAAACCATCTTTGGTGATAGTGTTTAAGCGTCGTTTTTCCGATGTGTTTCAGATCGTCAACATATTGACGATATTGTAATAGACGTTAAGTGTGTTAGATCGGTGCGGTCGAAGAGCCTTAAAAACGATGACGTGACGCATATTATACAGGTTACTATAAACTGTGACTTGGTGGAAAGTGAAGATTCTACGATGATTCCACTTGTGATGTGGATGCGGAGGTGTCGTCTCTGAGCAATGTATCGGTATCCTGAATAACCGCTTCTCCAGTAAGCTGCATTTGTGTGAAGTGGCCTGACGCGTCGGTGAGCACGATCTGTCCGCCTTCAAACGCCTGCTGGTCGATCTCGACCACGGCAACGAATTGTTGGTCGGCTGGTGCAGTGCCTGCCGCCAAGTGTGAGCGCAGGTGCTGCTGGAAGTCCAGGTGGCTGAGACATGCCTTACCGCACGTTGCGCAGGTTAGCACCATTTCAACCACGCGCACTTTTGGTTGCGTGCCTACCGATACAACGTTTCCTGCAGATGTTGCAGCTGGTAGCACACTATTGTTGACGCCACCCACTGTCATAGCGGTCGCTGGGATAGTTTGTACGATGACTTTAGGCTTGTCAAGGCCCGAACTAGCTGCCGCTGCAGCTGCAGCTTGAATTTGTTCCATTTCAGCAGGGGTCACATGGATGACTTGAGTGGTCTCCTGTAGACCAGCGGGCAGATCACCCTGCTGTATTGTGATCGTCTGTGTCGTTCCTCCTTGGGGACTTTGTATTGTTACGACCTGTGGACCGGTCGAGCCATCCACCTCATCGGGTTCCTCACCTTCATCAACACCATCGACGGCATCAACGCCGTCTGGGTCCTCATCGTCGTCCATCGAGTCCATCGAATCGAGATGATCGACATCTTCCTGGGTGTCGACCTGAACCAATTGCTGCTCGCCAGCCGTCGTCGACGTCACCGCGATGCTTCCACCCTGCGTATGAGTGCGGGTGTGGCGATCGACGTGGCTTTTCTGACGGAATGACTTTCCGCAGGTACCACATTGGAATGGCCGCTCACCGGTGTGGGTTCGCATATGGCGTTTCATGTACTCCCTCCTACGGAATGATTTGCCGCAAGCAACACATTGGAAGGGCCGTTCACCGGTGTGCACCCGCGCGTGATTCTCAAGGTGGACCTTCTGCGAGAAC